ACAGTATATTTATTGAACATTATTTATCAAAATAAGCAGAAAATAGCCTAGTACAAACGTTGCTAAAGTGATTGTTTTGAACAAGTATTAACTTAGACATTAGAATAAAAAAATATTTTAGCTAAAGTATTTATCAATACTGTGTGCCTTTTACCCCGTGATTGTGAAACACGAAACACCTCACATGATTTTACAGTGAAATGTGTCATTTTTCATGTTAATCAGGTCAAATTTGATCAAGAAAAATGCACTGTGGCTTTAATTCAGCTTAAGCGGGGCAGCAAAAATAGACTCGGCGTCGAAACTATCGCAGCACTGCTGCGTCTGCTCTGCTTACGCGTGCGGTGTGAAACGGGCGTTACAACAGAAAAAAACGTTTACAGCCAGGTTATATCTATACAGGTTATGGTCTATATAGCAAATTTTGTCCTTCATGACAACTGTGAGAGGGGTGAACTTTTTTATAACTCATCCGTTTAAATTATATTAAGCCTTCAACTTGAGTGACAGGTGGACTGCCGTCGAGCTAGGTGGGCGTGGCTTCAGCAACCAGGTCCATTTTCGATTATTCGGGAGTGATGCGCGGTGACGTGCTACCAAGATGGCGACGGCCCGCTCCGCCCACTTTGAGCTGCAAAAACGCTCTTCAGAAAACTACGGGTGACGTCACGGACACTACGTCCATGTTTTTATACAGTCTATGTTTCAGACTCAGTAAAGTTTTTTTTCTCTTTGTGCTCGTCATTCTCAAGCATAGAAATTTGGATATTGGCGTGTGCTCTTTTATATGGTAATGATATTAATTAGGGGGCGTTTACAAGGCGGAGATCTGACACCAGTCAGCTGCGCACAATTTCAAGATCATTTGCGATTTATAATGTCACATCTGGAAGACAGGCGTACGCACGCACGTTCGTTTTCTCTGAATCGCACTTACGCACTTTTGAGAAATGATCTTAGAACAAATTTAGGACGGTTTATACACAACATTTTATAAATGAGGCCCCACCTCCTCTAATGTGCGTGTAGGCCTATGTGAAGCACACCACATTTTCATTTCATTGTTTTTGACATTTCTGTGATGTTTAAACATTAATAACAGAATTATAATCAATGGCATTCACAGATTTTATTCATAAGTTGCAGTGATGCATGGATTTTTGATTATTTTAAACGTTTGTTAATGAAATATACAATTAATGTATGTGTCATTTTTTTGCATGTAATTGATTACAAGTTTTATGTTTATTTTGTGTTTAAAATTAGTACTTATGAAGTGGGACTTTTTTTCTATTCACCTGTACCTTTATCATGTTAATATTATAAAAGTTCAATAAAAAGATTAAGAAAGAAGGACTACTCAACTTGAAATGCCCTTCCCACGTATGCTTTTGTAATTTTACAGAGTTTATTACAGTATCTGAACAAAACAATCATTACTTAAGCACGTTATCTTTTCCATTGCTATATTCTATTGTTTTTGTCACAGTTATGGATTTTTGTGTTCGTTTTCATTTGTTCCCTCATGTTCCATTGACCTATTTTCTGCCTCCCCTTGATTGTGTCATGTTGTTCAAGTGTGTCATTCATTATCCTCATTAACGTTCCCCTTATAAATTGTATTCTGTTCAGTGGTTAGTTGGTCCAGTATCGTCAATGTGTACGTGTGTTCCTACCTTTCTCCCTGTGGATTACCCCTTTTGTGGTTTATTAAAGACTTTGTATTTACAGCAAAGTCCCGGACAGCAGCCTCTGCACGTTCTTCCTGACGAGCCTCAACGAGGAGTGCAGAGCGCGGTTGTCCGGGGGTGGACCTCGGGACTCATTCGCCGCTTTTGTGGAGTGGGTGCTGGTGAGCAACAAATCACCAATCACCATCAGCCTCACCGAGGAGCATCTCACCAGTACCACTCCAGACCCAGAGCCCATCCCACCATCTCCCTGCTGTGCCGACACCGCTGTCACCTGTCAGTCCCTCTGCTAACTCTCAGCCCAACATCTGTGCGCTGGATTTGCCGCGGGTCTGCCGGGTGTCGTGGCTGGAGGGTCCTTTGTCTCCGCCTCCAGCTTCTGAGTCCCGGACTCCGCCTCGACTCCTCGACACAGCGGCTCCACCATGGCTCCTAGCTTCCTCCTCTCCACCGTGGCCCATCAGTCCACCAGCTCCGCCGGGCCCCCTCGTCCCTCCGGCTCCGCCTTGGTCTGTCGTCGACCATCCGCCGCCTCAGGACTCCACTCCTCTGGCTCCGCCACGTACCTCCGTCCCTCAGGCTCTGTCAGGCTCCTCCTTCCCTCCGGCTCCACCTCAATCCTCTGTCGCTCCAGCTCCACCGCGGCCTTCCGGATCCCCGCCGGTGCCATCTGCTCCGCCTTGGCCCTCCGGATCCTCGGTGTCGCCCTGGCTCATCGGCTCTCCGTCTCCACCTCGGGCTCCTCCTCCACCTGCTCCGCCGCCGCCGGTCGGCCCCCTGGAGTTGTCAGCCCTTCCTCCACCATGGCTCCTCCCTCCGTCGGCTCCACCGTGGGCCGCTATCATGGCTGTGGCCTGGGTCTCACCTGGCTCCTCTTCCTGCTCCGGTTCCCTTCTGTTGTCACCCTGGCTCCTCCCTCCGTCATCACCACCATGGACTCTGTTTGTCGTCCTCCTCCGGGGAGTCTGTCCTCCGCCGGAACCTCCACCTGTCTCGTCTGCCTGCCAGCCCTTTGCTTTCCCCTGTCACCATCCCACATCCACTCCTAAGCCCTCCTCCGTCTCTCCCTTTGTCTCCACAGCGCGAGGACGCGCCTTCCGCGAGGGGGGCGAACTGTCACAGTTATGGATTTTTGTGTTTGTTTTAATTTGTTCCCTCGTGTTCCATTGACCTAGTTTCTGCCTGCCCCCCTCTGCCTCCCCTTGATTGTGTCATGTTGTTCAGGTGTGTCATTCATTATCCTCATTAATGTTCCCCTTATATAAATATAACCAAACGGAAAAATATAACCGGACCAACTAACCACTGAACAGAATACAACTTGTATTCTGTTCAGTGGTTAGTTGGTCCGGTATCGTCAATGTGTACGTGTGTTCCTGCCCAGCAAACAATAGCCATCATTTCAACGTCTCGGTTAAGTATAGACGCGATATAGTCCGGCTATGTGTAACCCACTTCTAGCCCAAATAACCTTGAATTTGGTTTCATGTCGTTTTTTGGTAAAATAACTTGAGATGTATGATATTCCATCATGTAAGCAAAGTCAGCAGCGTTTACAGGGTGTTTGGTTTCATTTCTTTGACATGTTCAATACGTAGCCTGTGCGTAGCCACGATTTAGCTCGTAGTCCGAGCGGCTATCTGTAGCCCACTTATAGTCAAACCTGATTCACTGTAGTTTTTGGCCAGGCAGCGCATGAGATGGTTGATATCCCATCATGTTCGCAGTGTCAATAATATCTACAAAGATATAAGTGTCATTTCATGACATGGTCTATATGTAGCCACGATTTAGCTCTAAATTGGACGGGCTACG